CTTCCTTGCAGATGATATAAAAATCGCCTCCCCCCTCTGCAAAAATCCCTGCCTTTCACCAGATCCAACAAGACTTAGACCCGGACTTGTTGGTCAAGTGCCTCTGGCCTAAGCTTCTCTTCCGCAATTCCCACAACTTCCTGACGCTGTTCACAATTAGTGACAAACCACTAACTCATTCCGCAGAGATCAAAGACCTTGGTCTCAGATACATTTTTTACGTTTAGCTTTTCCCATCAAGTCCAGTTCCAGGTTGCCCGAGCATGTTGGCTCAGCTTTTTACTGTTGCGGTCCTTTCATCTTCGAGACACAAAGGTCGCAATTTTTAAGCTATGCGTTTGACCAATCATGGAATTTTGTCCTACATTCTCTTCCCTTTGTACCCAAGGTCGCGGACTAGCACTGGAGACATCCAAAGCTCGTTCACGAAGAAGTCATTCCCACAGTCCAGTCCTCTCTCCTACCGCTCCCTCTGCGTAATATTGGACCTTGAACCACTATGGCTCAGTCGGTTTAAGCCAACTCTAACTCTTATACACCGTCTGCCTCACCAAAATGCCTTTATAGCAGAGGCTATAACGCCCTTCGGGTGCCTAGCTGCCATCCTACCGGAAGGAAGCACGGGGGCTGGGATGCTGCCAGGGAAGCCTAGACTTCGGGTGCCTAGCTGCCATCCTACCGGAAGGAAGCACGGGGGCTGGGATGCTGCCAGGTTGCTCAAGCCTAGACAGAGGAAGTAAAGAGGCAAAGGTCGTCTTTGAACCACGGACCTTCCGGTCAGTAAATTCGTGCTAGGACCACTCGTTCTAGCCAGGTCTCGGCCCTGGATGACTGTCACCTCTGTCTACCGACTGATGACTTGTTTTACCCAACTCTAACTAACTAATATGAACCGAACTGAAATCAGATTTCCTCATTACGATACCCAAAAGATAATCAGTTTGATGATGCGCAATGAATGAAATCCTTCTATAGCTTAACAAATCACCAAAAACAATATTACGATACGTCTTTGCTCGACATAGTGGCTCACAACAACACTTCGTCGCCGTTTATCCACATGTACACGCTCTAAACATCCCCATTTCATTTCCATTACTCCAATGGTAGCTGCTATTTCATTTGCCTCCTTCGCGACATGTTTCCCAGCGACCGTTTGTTCTAAATGACAGCAGTTTTGCTGGCTCCGCTTCCCCCCTCCCCCCCCCGACCGGAAAAAATATCTGGTAGCTGAAGTGTTTTATTAACGTGCAAGCCGCAATTGTGACTGGTTGTTGGTTTTCCACTATGCAGATCTGGTAGTGTGCACGAGGGGTGAGAACCTCTTGTGGTGGTCGGGCACGCCCTGCAGGGAGGATCACTGTTGCGTTGCTTCATGGTGCGTTTGTATACCAACCAGCCTTCCAATAGCAAGTGTGCATCGCCCATCGCCGGTGATTCTGAGCCTAGACTTTAATTCAGGAAATCCATGAAAGCCACTGTTGTATGTTTTTAGCAGGTGAATTGAATTTGCTCCATGTTAAAAAAATTGGTAAAATATACGTGGGATGCCCCGATCATATTCCGCAGTGCCCACGGCCTACGTCGATGTACAAAGCTGTAGCCTCCTTCCTCTTAATTGGGGTGGCACTGCACCGAAGTCCAGTTCTTCAGCCCCCAAATGTAGTCTCATACAATAACTAAATTAATATATGTAGTGAAATCCCTAATTCTTCACTGCTAGCATTCAAGGGTAGCGCCTATGGGCTTTCTTTCGCCATGCACCACTGTTGTTGCGTTCGCTCTTACTAGTTTGTGCTTCGCATCCTAAGGGTTCCCCAACCGAATCGAAGCTGTTTGTGATCGTGCATTGGCTTTATTGTACCTCAGTGGATCTCCATGGCCAACCCAAAATCCCGCTGCCCGCAGAATCGCTCGTCCCCAGTCCGATCATCTCAAACATGACGTCCCGTACGGGGCTGTCCAGCAACCAAAGTATGTCAGAGCAACTATTCCTTTCATAATCTCATTTGTCAACCCTCACCCACTCTGTCCTTAGCCTGCAAATGAGCAAATTCTTTACCTGGCCCCAGTTACCTCTAAAGAGAGTTTGCTCTTATCAGCTGAGCCATTCATTCGGATCTAACCATCTCGGTGGACATTCATTTTGTGCTCCCCACGAGGTCAATCATTTCCTGTACGCTTCGCGTTCTGTCCAGTGGGTCAGCAAAAACTCAGTCTCCAAGGGAACGTTTACGTCCGACTACGCTCCAACAGCGACGTCAGTAAGTCTGTACGGTTTTACTGTACACCGTGATTCTGATATTCAAGCTACCATGTACCCGTAATGCGAACTTCTCCACCTCATCATCTCCACCTACGCTCTGTGTGATGCTGGCCATAAACTTGACTGTCCAAAGCCACGTAGTTTTGGCAATGGTCTTAGTTTTTAGTTCGAATCGATTGACAGATCACTGCAAGGCAGCTGTTTCACGGTTTTGCCTTCCCTGTTGTGTTGTTGACCGCCATCCTCAAATTGTAACAGTCCGATCTTCCTTAAGCTCGATGTGTTCCCGAAAAGAGGAAAATCCCAATAAATATGTTTCCCTATCCCCCATGTCCACCGCATTTTGATTACACCAGTCTAAGCATGACCTTATCTGCCTCAGATGATGCCCACCAGAATATGACCAGTTCTTCATACGAACCCTTGAGCAACGCTGCTCCAGCTACCACCTCACACATCTGCTGGTAAGTGGTTTTAACGCTCCCAAGGCCTCTATGAAACTACAGTGCATCTCGTCTAGCGGATATTTTGCATCGAGAGATGTCGCATTATCTCAGGTGGTTTTAAAATTCATCAACTTGTGTTCCAGCAACCTGTGGCGTATAGTATTCGAGTAAAGTCCACTAACAAATACGCCGCGAAATGCTTCGTCGCACTAACAGTCTGAAAGCGGTAATCTGGCAACAAACTATGAAGCTCTTGCACAAATTGATCAAAATTCTTATCTCCGTCTTACAAGTATTCTAAAGATGCTGGGCGAAAATTTCATTTTTCGGTTGTATATAAATTTCCCACAAGATTGTAATAGCTGACTCATAATCCCTAGTTTCCTTAATGAAGCAGTAAACACTAGGAGCAACGTATTTGAGCAAGGTTTATCTGGTAACTGAGGAGCAATTGACTGGAGGAAATTCGCTAAAGTACGGAACTGGTTCCCCCAGATATCTTCCGAGTCTTGAGTATTGGGATCGGTACCGAACCGTTCACGACGTAACAGTTGATCCATTGTTCGATTGAAGTTTTTGTATAAACAGTTGTTGTGTTTGACGAGGAATGGAGTGCCGCGACAATTGAGTAAGAACGAAAAAGTCTAGGGGCCAAGAAGCTAGGCTTTATTCATCGAAAACTTTGACACTGTGAGTTGAAGCTAGAAAACGTGACTTATCAATAAACGATGAAACACTTTTAAGAAAAAACAGCAAATATACAACAAGAACATCGTTTACGTAAGGTCAGTTCATCTGCAGGATTTGAAGACCGTCACCATCCAGAGGAGCCTCATGAGATTACTGTCAGCCTGATATTAAATGTCCATCCTGTTTGTGTGTGTGTACGTTTTAATGCAATTCATTATCTGAACACACTCGTCCATTCATCTGCTCCGTTTGTTTTCACGAGATAGCTCAGTGGTTTACGGTGCTAACGTACTTACGGGAGGGCCGTGGTTCGAACTCGATCCCTGCATCTCGACTGCTCCTCTCCAGACTTGAGTAGTATCTCAGCCATTGTGCACGCTTCGGGTGGCATGGCAGCTATGCATCGAAAGGGAGTTGTGACTGAATGGTCATTATGTATTGCTATTCCTGTCTCGTTTCTAGTTGCTGCACTTCCGTCTGGTAGTCGAAACCATTGGGCCGATTTGGTTTGAGATAACTATAGTGCCAGATTTCAGCCACCTCAAGATGTTGACGCTTAACTGTGTTATTCATTTGCTGGATTCGAAAGTCGGACATATTTGTTTGCCCCGTAGCTACCGACATAAACCTTCAGACCGGATCCATGGTTTTGACATCCATGATCGTTTGGCTTAAATCAAGGTTTCATTTCGGAAACTTTAACAGATGTCTTGTATTATGGTATGTGTTGAAACGTCGAAGCCATCAGCTTTCAGTCTTGTTCGTGCCTAACGTAAACCCAAACTGTTTCAAAACTGATAAAATCACACGATTGTTCGAGACTTGTTATTGAATCCAACCACCCACCGTTCTCAACAATCCAAAAATACCTGTTGGCGCCCACCATTCACCTTTACATATCCTGATACGACTTTTTAACCTTGAGTGCTTGCTTTACTGTTTAGCACATTGTCATCTATCCATTCCAATCGGGTATCACTCAGTCTTTATGCCCAGCGAACCTGAAGATTTCCTCTCTGTTTAAGGACTTGCTATCAATAAGGGTATTTTACACAATTCATGGTTCAGCGGTCAAGTTAACAGCTGTAAACCTTCGGTTTTTATGATTGGGAGGACATGAGGTTCGTCGGTGAATGCATGGTTTCAGGAACAAGTTAGTCAATCAGTTCATCGTTTTGTCGACTCTAAATGCTGAACGAACTACTGTTGTTATACAATTACGAGTCCTCTTTTGAACCTATTGTAGTGCTGCTGTAGGCACAGTTGTCTGAGCACTATTCACCGGTCAAACCGCCATCCTTCACCCCACAATGCGTGCATGTACGTTCTTCCGATAAGTGGGAGAAACTAATACTTATCATCTGATTTTGACTGATGACCCAGTTTGAACTTCCACTGCTATGGACAGTGTTGAAGAGGTTTCTGACACTGCTGCTGATTGTGAACCAATCAATTGAAATATCGTAGTGCCAAACCAAATAATTAAATCATATTGCGTAACATTTTTGTCTAAAGTGGACACCTCCACAACTTTCTTATTTGGTATGCTAGTTATGACCAGTATTCATTATAGTTTTCCTTTAATTCCCAGATTCTAACTGTCCACCCTGGAGAACATATTTACCGCTAATACTGTGTTTGAGGAGTACTTTTCGGGGGAGGATATGCCTCGCCCTGGGTTTTCTGTGGTGGAAATGTGTTTGCCATTTCATTGTGATTGTTCACACTACTTGTTTGGACTCTTGCTGTGTTGTATGCATTCAAAACATCACACCAGTCACTCTTTACTGATTGATTGTGGAGGGAGCTTTCTCGTGTCGAAGTTCGTCGCATATATCGAGAACAGGATCCCCAATCCAACAACATCCTCCGGCCTTGGATCCAAAGGGTTGCTGGAAGAGGTAGTGTATGCTGATCTTCTCTAATTTTTAATTTTCAGCTCTTGTCCCGACTTCATGTGATCCGCGTTTTCACGCATCGGGAGTTGACTTTGGCACTTTATGCAAGCAGAGATGTTCTGAGCCGCCGTCCGATTTCTTTCATTTTTTTCAACAACATTAATGCCTTTGGCGACTTGGAGAATCTCACAGCCCATCCAAAGAAAAAAGCAACTGCGGAACAAATCTTGTGGTGTGGCATGTTGCAACGCCTGCTACGTGATTTCAATTTGTTATGTATCTCTATCCGACGTTGTGTTCCGCGCTTGAACTGCCGCCAACAATCCAAAGGCTGTGATTCCGTCCAATCGAATTTTCCTGTCTCTGCATCTTTTCCCTTCTATCAGGAGTCCATGTCATCCAACTGGGTTAACTGTTTGACACATCGAATCGAAATAATTTCCTGTCAGTCACAGTATGTTTCCTATGTAAAACGCGACTCTACATTTCAGGTGGCTATAGATAAGCGCTAGATGTTGCCTTTCTCGATATTCATCCGTTCTGAGTGGTATTATTTTATTTTATTTTTATACACAAACAGATCATTATGTGACTCTCCAAAACCAAATACTATCAAATGACTCTCATTGCCTAGGTGTCCAGCACGTACACAGCGTCCGACGATGACAAAAGCACTGATTACGTCGGTCTTGACGCAGCTCGTTGAGCATGGCAATTTCAATACGGGATATTCCTCGAACCGATTTCTCTTCCAGAAGGGCTCAGCCACGCTCCAGTGGCCAGGGTGATTTCTCAAATGATGCTCTTACGAACTAACCGAAGGACATCTGGTGTTATAGGATTTATTTTAAGGAGATTACAGGATAATCTGGGGACGTAAAACGGTCGGGTACTTGCTTCAGTTTTCTTCGTGGGTCGTTACTAATCTCTAAAGCAGCTTGTAGGTGACAGGTATACGTAGGTTAGTTATTTAAGTTAGGGGCCACTTAGTTGGGGTCCGGGATACCATAGTTTTGACATGCAATATGAATCGACGAAGGAAGAGCTCACAAGGCATACTTCTTCCTACTGACCTGTTGCAGTGACAAATTTTCTCAATTACATTATCTGTTCGTTACGTTACCAATGGTGTTGTGAACCGGTTCTAACGCACCCTGTTGGCTCAGTTGCTCCCAGTGGCAACCGTCGAGCCTGGTAATACTCCCTCGTCGGGAAGCTGATGAATCCGCTGGCCGAGATCTGGTCCATCTAGAGGCTTATCCGGATGGCACATACTCTTCAGATTAGTACACTGTGTATGGCCTATTTCCGAATGTTCCCACTGAGTGACCGTGCCTCGAAACATGGTTTTCTGGGGAATGGGAAAAGTTACAGTTCGTTTTGATTTCACTTTTCTAACAAAATAACAGAAATGCGACAGTCGTGCAAGATTATAGCGGTGGGTCCTCAGTCCCATAGAAAGCCGGTGGATGACTTGACAGGTTCGTCAAATGATAAGGTGCCTGCTCTGGTATTTCATTTTGGTGGATATCTAGCATGATATCCAGGAAAATGGGTCACTTCGTGCAGCCCCTATATAACTGGCGATAACTTTTCTTCGTTCGGACCCTCGAGAAATCTAAACAGTACTGAGTTGCACACCTGTACACAACCACTCATAGTTCTCACCGAGTATAGAGGTGAAATACCTTTCCTAACTCATAGCGGCCGATTTTCTTCGCGTTTTTGAATGCATCTCTTCTGGGAGACCACTGCTGTCGCGTAGTCTGATCGATTCATTGGTTTGCTTCCTGTCTGTTGCAAACAAAAACCACATCTGTAACTACTGTGTAGAGTGACATTTTGTACAAAAACAGGGTGGTAATGTGTCGCGGGGCGCACCTTCAATTCATCCAGGACTGGCTTCAAGGCTGTATGCAAGTGACCATCTGACAATAAAATACTTTTGTGATGCTGGGGTATTCATGTTTGTGTAAGTACCTGATGTCAGATTTGTAGGCCGGACTGGACTAAGCACACTAAGTTCAAACTATGGTTTGAAGCAAAGCAATTTCAAGTGTCACTATACCGCAGCGCTCCATATCGCCCATTATCTTATCGATAACGCCTGTCATGGATATTTTGAAATTCAATACTATCACTATCAATTTCACAGCGCCAAATCCCCTGCAGTAACCATCTACTTGATTCCTGTGCTGTTCACGATTTGCTACGTAGGTCAGTTAACCTCGTGACACTTGCGTGTAACTTGATGCCACAGAGTTGTGTTGAGGCTGAGGCAATCGTGTAGTCCTTCAAACCTAGTTGGATACAGGTGTCAACCTCTGATTAATTTTTTCTTGTGACCCTAATGTTTCTGTCGTGACGCCGTCAAGGCTCTCAAATGGACGTTGTATGTGGATACCAGGTGTGAAGCGATGGTAACAATGCCGACATCATTCCGTGTCGGGTCAAGCTGATGGAGCGGTTGGATTGTTCGCTGAGCCTGGCAGTTTTTCTTTCGTCACTAGTCAAGGTGACATATTCATCGCGTTATGCAATAGCAGTGCGCTGTATACGCTGCACTGGTTAGGCCATCACCCGGTTAATCACAAATGTGGGATGCATGTGCTACCAGCTATGCTCGAATAAAAAAAGCAAGAGGATATAAGTGCATGGAGACGTAGTGTATCACAAAGCGATTATTGGGTAGTCACTGAGTTGTTGTACGCTTCTTAAACAAATCTCTTACTTTCAGTAACTCCCTTCAGTGTGCAACCGCGTGACGTGTTCCAAACTGCTACCATACTGAACTGCCAATGAATTCAGCTAAATTCAAATAGTGTCACGGGACAGAATGACCTAATAGCGACATCATTCAGCCACCTGACTACCGACTGTTACGTGTAGGGATTACCCTCTAATGAGGGGAGTCAGTCAACAACTTCGGGAACGTAGAAGTCTCCCTTGTTAGCTTTTAGAGAGGCTCGTCCCTTTGTAAAATTCGGTGCTTCAATTATTGTCTCCTGGAGCAGGCATTTTGTAGCGTTAACTGACTTTCCTCAAAGTGCACACGTGCGATTCATGGTTGTACATGGGCTGGGAGACGCCTAGGGTGCCCTCACCTAGCGAGGAGAACGACCAAATCCTTTGGCTCAAAAGGCTAGCCGCAAGACAGCCGTCAGAGCAGCCTACATTTTTTTAAGTGACAAGTCGCCATAGATATTTCAACCCCCAACCTTGAGCTCCAGGAAACTATTAGCCAACTGCCATCTGACCAACCTAGTATGAGAGGCTCTGTGGGTTTCACCCGTACACCGTCACAGCACGGCAAGGTCCAGTCTCTTCGTGATGGAAAAAAAACAATAGAACAACAACAGACCCATTACCGACTGTCCCGTGACCGCCTATCAATATTCATCCTCTGAAAAGGCAAGAATCTTCGCGTCCAGCGCGTCGAAAATGCGACAAGTCGGATACAGCCCTAGAAAGTCACTTTGATGTCTCCGTTGCAGCATCCATTTGTAGTGGCATTCGCGGGCGGTGAAGAGGAGTGATGTTGGTCAGCCCTTCAAAGCGGACGCCCTCAAAAGTAGTTGTAAATCCATTTCAGTATCTATTTTTCATATGCACCAGCACTTTAGATGCTGCTGCGTCTGTTGTTGATGTGCAGGTATATTTCGAATGTTCGAATACATCCGAGGAAGTTATTGGAATAACCGGATAGTAAACAAGTCTTGTTTTTTGTGTTTGAAAACACCAGCAAATTGAAAGGTGACAGGAAGAAGAAATTCACACCGTTTGGAACTGAATCGCTCAGTGGTCCTGCAAAAAATTGTAGGTAGTTGCCCAGCCTTACAACCGCTGCCTGTTCTTGTGTGCGTGCTTTGCCGGTCGCTTGAGCTTCAATGCTCGTGATAGTTGTCTTTGTGCACAAATCTCACTTTTGCGCAGCCGGTTGGATGTCTCCACGACGAAGATGCTAGTTCTGACAGCTTGGTAGCATGGTAGTTAGCTGCCTTGTTATCGTATTCAATGCGGTGAGATACGCCCCATTTATTGTTGAATCGGTTTCAGTCATAAATTTACTTGACTTCACTGTCGAAATTCCGTGAATGTATTAGCAAACGCATTTGGATGAATTATGAAGTAGGAAATATCTATTGGTTCGCATTTTGTGGCACCATGCTCGTTAGACAGGTATGTGAGGTGCGAATTATTCCAGCCTTTTTTTCAACCCTGAATTTTGTTTCCGGACATCGGACAGAGCGTGTTAGTAAAAGGCTATCATGGTAATCGCGTATTCTGGCCTCAAGGCTAAATCACTCGGCGAATCGGAAGTGTTATCTGTGATGTTCGCGTGGGTTCGTCATTCAAATCAGTTAAAAGAAGCTTATTCACAACCCATCCAGAGATTAAATGCGTTGCTTCTGAACATTTTGATAGAACATCTGGACATGAACGGAGAAAAGACAATTGACACTTAGGTTGCGGAGCAGCTGCCGGAAGCGTCTGTGTATCAACAATCACGAAGGAACACACGGAGAAGAATGCCATTGACAAAGACTCAAGACAGAAGACTTATGCTACTCAACTTCGAAGGTGAGATATTGGGAGAACCAGCTCCTAACGTAACGGGACTACATAACTACCAATGGAATAACCGTTTTTGTTTGTAAGCCCGAAGGTTCAGTGTTCCAGCTTACTTTCTTATCATTTTCGCGGCGAATTAATTCTCATCCATCGATACCAATGCCTTCGGATTTTTCGTAATCGGTTAAGCTGGCTATTGATCTGCACAGACACAATACAGTTGTAGCAACTGCAACTATGGGCACTGTGAGCCATACCGTTGTGCACGTCATTAGCCGAATGACCAAGGCGCGACTTTCCGTTTTATTCAGTAGGCAATGGACTTGGAGGTGACAACATAACCCAGCAACATGTGCATTCCAATGTTGACACATCTTTCAGGCATGTTTTTATCCGCTTCACGAAGGTCACCTAGAGTCCTGGTGAATCCAGAGTGGTCGTATTAGATCCACGGAGGTGACCGGATTGCACGCAACTACTTGAGCAGTTTTTGCCACAGATACTGCCAATAAGGAAGTTTTCACTGTAGACATTCATCCAATGCATCAGATGCGTTTTTCTTGTGGCGAGGAGCATTGTGCATCCGAAGAGTAGTCCACTTCCGGGTAAAAGGAGCAAGTTTACAAAGGCTATCTCTTCAGTAGAAACTAGTTTGTCTGTCTGGCTTGAGACTGGTTCTCATGTTCTAACACTGACTTCAATGGAGAAATCGTCTTCCAAAAAGCAAGAAGCTTACAAACACTGCGCATAAGATCCCACAATCTATCTTATTGAAAGCCTACGAGTAGACCAACTTTGTCCACGAAATATGAATCAGAACGATGAAGAATGCCACTTGTGTCGCTAGGATTCTGTTCAGACTTGTTCAGAAAGTGGAACTCCTTCCAGGCTGTCAAATGCATGTTATGTTCGAAACGCTATCTGAAAAATTTTCTGTACAAACCGGGCGTCATTCGACAGTATGCAGCGAAACCTCCAGGGGATGATTCACAGAATGTATTATAGCAATTTCACGAACTCGCAATTCTTACAAGACGTTATGTAAGCAACCACACAAAAAATCGTCAACAGAGCGGAATAATGATTTCCAGACACCGACACAAAATCTATGGTGATCGAGTGGGTGATTTGATTCACTGCCAACCAATGAACGGACACTCTTTTCAGCTGAGCGCTTTTCTCCCGTCTACAGTACGTCCTCCAAATTTTTCAAGATATCGGGTCCATCCCACATTAAATCTTTTTGCGTGCTACTCGCTTGCCTACTCCTTCCGGTATCAAACGATCTATCTCCACATGCGGATGAGTAAATATTCAGGATTCCCACTTTCGTGAAATACACTGATATGCGAACTAAATTCGTCTCACCAGGAGACTCAGCTAATTCCTTTATCTATGGTATGTGTTGAGTGTGCTGTACGTAGACCTCCTCATGTGTGTACGATATTCGCGGTCATAGTATGTTTCCCTGATGGGACATACTTCCTTATAAGGTTGGTGAAAATTCTTCGGCAACCAGCCGTACCAGTCAATGAAAGTTCGGTCAAAACTATGAGTTTCGAACTATCGGACATTGAAAGCGTTATTCTGACCTGCTCTGGACCTGGATTGAGAGTAGTTTTTGAACTAGCTTGCATACAACGGAAACACCAGTTAATTCGTAAACGAGAAACAGCGTGCGTCCGTGTCCTAATCACTACGGTCATGAAACCATGTAAAACAAAAGTTGACTTGGTTTCTGCCTTTCAAATACTCCGACTGGCCTCAGCTGAAGTGAGGGTACTCACTTTGATGGAAAATGGCTTTTGAATGGCAGGTGTTGGAACATCACATTGCCGTGTTACTTTGATTTCTCGAATAACTAAGTAGTCAGTGGTCTGTAGGTCTTGCCCAGTTTCACGCACGTTTCTACTCCTCTGGAATTTACTTCTTTCTCACCACTGGTCTGTCTGACACTTCGGTGAAATCAGAAATCCAAGGTGGATTTAAACAAATTGCTACCTCTTAGACAATCCGCCGACTGATCACTCTGTTGGTTGGTGACGAACAAAGGGAAGAAGGCCAACACAAACATAAGCACAATCGTCCTGTTCGGTTGTTTAGACTTTCCATTTTATGAGATGGGTGTTGATATATGCTAAGTTTGAGGGGACTAAAACGGCCCAAATATAGCCCTCTAACAGGTACGAACAACGATGAATCAGAAAACTCGTGGGCCACAACGCCAGGTCTTATGGCTCATCGCTGCTTACACATTATACACACGAACAAAATGTACGTAAAGTGATGATGCAAGGACGCTTCATTTGGGTACTATCTTGGCGGATAGGGTGTATCCATCAAATGCCCCACCCAGGATCGTCGTAGCAACTGGCCTGGTATCAAGACACTTGGATCCCCGTGGTACTTGATATGCGAAAATTTCGCGACTCCCTCTGACACAGTAACGTTTATACACACCCCGTATTAACCTTGGTGCAGCCCTGTAAGTAGTAGGTTCCCAATGAACAGACACTTTCCACCCTTATGGCTTCAGAGAGGATAATTCCTCCCTCTCGGTGCCACGGATTTCGTATTCGGAAATACACCGTTGCTCTACATGCCGACGCTGGATGTCTGCATTTTGCATGATGGATATTACGCCGCACCATCTCGTTTGAATCTGACCGCTCTGGAGGCATGAAGCAAGTGTTTAGTTTTGTTTTTATCTCTTGTTTGCAAGTCAGCAAACAAAGCCTTTTTCGTGCGGCTGTGTGCGATTCCGTTCCGTAGGCTGTTAAAAGTTTCATCCTCCACGATTAACAGCCTGGACTGATTTCCTTATGGCACGGTCTAATTATCCAAATAAACGATTAGCAGCTGACTTGGACGCGGTTTTAGCAATTCTAATGTCATATCGGGGCGAAAACTGCACAAGCTCATAGTTCACAATTGTTACCGGTGGCTATTTGGTTTGGAAGACCTAAGCTAGAGAGCAAATATCCGAGCTACGTTGTAACCACCATAGTCATTGTGTTGCCCCACAAAATGTCTGTTTCCCCTTCGCAAATGCGAAGGAACCCCTTATGCAAGCAGCAATTTTCATCCAATATCTCGTGGAATATTAGACGAAATGTATTTGCTTTATAGGGAGCTTATAGTTAAATAGCATACTCTGTAACCGCTACCTGGCCCGCGGGTATTCCAGCTTTTGTTCCCACAATGTCAAAACGAGCCTCACGTCCGTTAGCAAGCATGGTCTATGTAATGGTTGGGGTAAAACATGGCAAGCTCACAGGACGTATCCATTTATCATCGACAGCTCACCGAGAATCGCAAAGCAGGGATTTAACTCAACACGGACATTCCTTTTTTGCTGGCCATGGAGTCGACAAATGGCCATTGCTAGAGCTGGATCGCTTCCCAGATGGGCTTGTGATTCGTCTGGTGCGATTAGAACGGGGAGTTCATCAGCCAAGAAGTTACCTTGCGGTTTCTATTTCCGTCAGCGTTCTCCAGCGGTTACAGGGGAAGTGTCGAAAACCCGATTATATTCTCCGGAAAAGCTTAGCACCTCGAAGCCGTTACTGAAAAGACCTGCATACCACCGTCTTATAAGTAAATCCTCTTACTCTTCGGTAGCGTGAAACCTCCATGATTAGTGAGTAGAAGAAATGATCATTCTGTGAAAACGCACACGCGCATACACGCTGTACAAAAGCAATTGCAGTTTGAGTGAGTGTGAGATAGACGGTGCACCTTTTGGACGGACAAGCCGGACGCATCAGGTACCTCAGAATGCGAAAATATTCAAGAGACTGTGTACCTGAATGATCAAGTTCGAAAGCTCGCCTCTTACTTTTCCTATAGGTTCGTCTAGATACTGCTGTCAACAGCGATATGATGCAAAAGTGAGAGCCCACTAGCAGACCGCGTTTAGCTGTACGCTGTATAGTGTACAAGAAAATAGTAGTGTAAATCGTCGGTCTCAAATGAGGGAACCGTTTAAGTTTACGTGCATTGGACAATATTAAGTAGTTCACCGTGGAAAAACTCGGGATAGAGCCTCATTAATACTGAGTGCAGAAAGACTAACTGGCAAATCGCTTAACAGCCTTCTTCAGATGGAGGGTAATCCACCACCGAAATACATTAGGACGATGAGGAACAGCGAGCGCTTTGGAGACCACCCACTGAGTGTTCGCCTGGCCTGTAGTTTCGTAGTTCTTTCTGATTAGTCGCACGCACAATAATAGTATATTTAGGCCTGATAGAATAATGAGGGATGGATATGACACCAACGTGCAGAGGTAAAAAGTTAGCCCCTTGGAGGAAAGCTGTATGCGTCAGAAGCGACAAAGATCTAGCCACTGTTAATTAGAAATTTGGTTTGGCTTGTGTGGAGTCCGGTTAGACCAAGACCTGAATCGGTCCCCATGTGTGAAGCCGCTCAGTTCTGTGGGAGGACAGTTGCTTCACCGTATACCCCGACGGAAATATCCTATTGAAGAATAGGGCACTGTTATATCTGCTGATTCGCCGGCCTGTGATATCTGCTGCTGACCCGCTCCAGTGCCTAGTGTCGGAGAAAAAGGCTCACGGAAGGGAACACAATAGCTATATTCCAACAAAGTGGTTGCGAGAGTGCGAAAAGTACAACGGCCTCAAGCTTTTTATTGGAAGAACACTGTCTGAACTTGGTCCAATGCTGACGCATGCGGTCTGGCTTTGGTACGAGGCATCGACGTGCTGCATATTGCGGAGGCGTTGTCTGTCATTGATCAACGTTGACTCGCGCTGTCTGGCTTTGATGCAAGGCTGTGATGCGCTGCATATTGAGGGGCGTTGTCTGTCTGGTCAACACCCAGCGGAGCTGAGAGTCTCCGTAGATTCCGGGCATTCAGTGGTTGCTTTCAGGAAGCTGACCTTCCTGATAGGCACCTTCAACATGCGGTCCTCCTATCCAAGGTAGCTCCGTACTGAAGCCTCAATACCCCTAACTGGCACATCTATTTTAACTCCACTTTACCGGTGACAAACAACTCAAGGATGACAGTAGACACCGGTACTAGATCTCATGAGAACGTCGACATTCAACACTGATCTAGTTTGCTAACTTGAAAACGTCTTACTGATTGGTTCTCCGCCTGCCTTAGAACCTGGCTAACTTGGTGACCTGCTCACTTGACTTGATGAAACTTTCCCGTCAAAAACCGAACGTTGTCCAATTAAAAACTACTGATTGTTTACGAAGTCCTTCTGAAACTTTGAGGCAGATTCTCCAATAAGAGCCGGTCGGGTTAAAACCATTTTCAGAGCACCAACACAAATCAAACGAGTTGTAAAAGCTGCAACGTCACCTTCTTATTGGCCGAAAGAGTTACAAGATTTCATCCATAAAGCGACTCACCGGCACTAATAAAAATGGAAAAATAATTGTTCGGCTGTAACAAATTTTAGTGCGTAGCCGTGATGTTGCTCGATAGAAGCGCCACGGGCAATATACTGTCAGGTTACCCAAGCCTAGATACGAGCATCGTGGGGGTTGGGTTCGACCTTTCAGCCAGTAGATTCGCATCCTAACCATTTAGCTGGTTCGGGCTCAAACTCATCAGCACTGTACTTCTGTCAATCTCTGCGGTTCATCATCCCTGCTGCCTCACTGTCCCCATTCTGCTCCTACCCACTTTGCTGCTGTTGATTGTCCTGCTTATTTTAATATACCTATCAACCCATCTTTTTCAAAGACCAGTTGTCAGTGCGTTACCTACTGTCCCCGTCCTTTTGTTCCTATTCCCAGCACTTATAGCATACCAGCTGCGTATAATCCAACAGCTCCAGACGTCCCGTAAAATACTACGTCGCTCTAATCTTACAGGGACTCCCAACAGGCTGGTATGGGAAGCGTGCGAAATGAGTCTGAAGACGGTACTCACAAACGACCAAACATAGTTCGAAGTGTACTTGGGTGGATGATAAAACATGAACTGTCCAACAGCGACAAAAGCGAAGCAAAAGCTTGGTCTTTAGTAGTCGTCAGGATGTTGAGGTGGTTCCTTCTCCTCATTCAGTTTAATCAGATCATCAATACGCAGAATCGTGATGGCAGCTTCCGTTGCGAACTTCAGACTTTTGATTTTGGACACCATTGGTTCGAAGACCCCCAATGTCTCACAGTCCATAACACGGTGATTGTCCAAATCCAATCCCCACCTGTGAAAAATAAAAAGTCCTCGTCTTATGTAGGTTCTGAAAGTACTGTTACGACTGTCGCCGTTATGTAACCGACTTGTTTACAAGTCACTTGAACCACATTTAAAAGCAAAAGGGCGATGGACCAGACGATCGGGAAGCAATCTAAAGCAATGGAACAAACCAAAGGAGTGTGAGCCACCGTTAGGTGTTCAGGTGAAATAAAACCACACAGATGCCTGTACTTGAGCGATCTGCTACTGAAGGGCCCAAATGATGTCTCTGCATTACGCTTCCAATCAACCATGAAGAAGTTCAAGTTGATGGTGTAGTGCATCCACCTAACTGTCCACAAGATGAACATGAGATGCATAGAAGCTATACGAATTTATGGACGTTCGCTTGTACGACCAATGATTCAGCGAAAGGGGACAATACGTCCCCTAACGACACATCCCTCGGTTCAATTGGAAGTTTGCGCGGCGCACTGCTGAACTAACGCGGACATGCTTCGAAAATTTCGACAACTAGTGAGTTGGTATTGGTTTCAAAAGACAAGGCAACCCTGTATGAGTTTAGGTTAGCACAAACTAAGAAAGTGAGTGAATTAAAGCTATTCCTAACACTGATTATGGATACGTTGTGAAGAAGGGCGCCGGATAACTACATTAGGAGCATATGGAGGCAAATAGAGCGGACATAGATCAGGGTCATACACTTCTGTGTGCGTGGCAAAAAGCAGCCTGATCCATGGCGGAGTATGCACCTGCTATACCTCACCAAATCATCTGAGTGCTAGACTCGTCTAAGACGATTCGTTATGGAATCAAGGAGCGTTGAGAAGTAATTTCGAGGAAAACTGGTGTCTGAAACGAAAAATTGTGTTGGGACAAGTGAGGTTTGGCTCTATCTAGTTGCGCTTAAAGGCCACACAAAAAATGATGACAAAACATGTGTTGGATTATCCATGAAAAACAAGTTGACTGAGACACGGAGTGCCCAAGCAAACGGACTCTCACAGACTTGCTTTGAGAACCACAGACAGGACTTACCATTTGTAGTGAGATTGGTCCTTTTTAGACTGGCTCGTACTATGGCATGAGCGCAGCCGCGCAACGAGTTCGGTTGAATCAAGTCCAGCATTGACAGCCAGCTGCTTAGGGATAGAAAGCATTGCGCGTGCGAACTCTGCAATCGCCAACTGCTCGCGAGAACTCAGTGTAACTGCAAAGTTTTCTAAGTAGATGGAAATGGCAGCTTCACAAGCACCGGCACCAGGCACAACATCCTTGCTTTCCAACACACGTTTGACGACCTGAGTGCATGAAAGTCAAGGGAAGTCAAATGGGTGAATTAGTTTTCGTAGTCATAACTTCATTAACAAGTGATATTTAACAAAACCTCACAAGGAAGGTCCCTTCCCCAATAACTACAACAGCCACCTTTCCAAACAGAGATGATCACGACGTTAGCTCGCCTGATCCTGTTGCGGCTTTAACAGTTACAATATCGTGAATCGACTCCGCATATTAAGTAACGGCGGTCGGTAACTGGAAGTGACTGTCACCCATTTTTGTTTAGCGTCCGTTTAGCTGGAACCAAACCTTGAGTTACCAGCCTTGACACAGGTGTCCAGTTTGGGATACATATAAGCCAGTTATCAGAAGCTCAAAGACGACTGACCTTGTGACCCCTTTATCTATCGGTTATTTCGGGGCTACATGTGTGGTCCGAGAGCAGATTATCGGTTGGAATCTGTGTTGCTGGTATCGGCGAGAGCACGCAAGTTCGGATGGGCAAAAAATAACTTCAATCTACAACTGAGCGCAACGAGGAACGTGTCGAAAGTGAGCGAATGCATGTCACATTAGTATGCTGATGATAGATCAATTGGTTGGGAGTACGGTTGGGATGACACGACAAGGCGTTTCATTCTGATGCTGACATTCAGTGCCTCGTAGTTGGTTAAATAGGCAATTAGGCATACTAGCACATCCTGTAACTACCACCCAACTGGTACGAAGACAGTGCATTTCTCAAAATGATTATTACTAAAACTTACGATCTGTTGGCTAAGGAATTTAAGGCAAGATACTTCTGAGGTCATACCCGTTCCAGCGTAAGGCTATTAGCTGCATTGTCTGAGTTCAAGACTGACAGTTCATTGTAGGATATTGACGGGATATCCTGGCATCCAGCTGGACTTACTGCACCTGGGTTTCGAACTCAGAATATGCAAATAATATTCTCATTGCACAAGTAAGGAGAATCTTACATTAAAGACCCGATTACATTTAACAAATGAATAGAATGCAATGAAACAAGATTAAAATAACTCCAACAGTTGACCTCTCTCTGCTGAGCGCACGCCTCAGACTCCTATCTGTTTGGACAAAAGCCGGCCACTCAACCGAAGACACAGAAAAGAAAAGGTATTATGGGTTGAGAACCGCATGAACTTCGGCCAAGTTACTATGTGAGAAGATGCAACATCCAACAGCCACTCATGATTATGTGATCAATGACACGATACCTGTTTGATTGGTGATCTGTAATAGAGGAAGGTACTTTGAGTTTTGGGTTTGAACAAACACCAAATTGTAAATTACAATGTTGAAACTTGACCGACGGAACATTCAGTTTAATTGTTGGCAATCCATGACTATCGCAACCCCCCTCCCCCTCAGCAAAGACATTCAGTAAAGCGACCACACACTCAGTCTTAAATTGAGCTTCGCCGGCTTAGGCGGATTGCTTTGCTGCGAATTGAAGCACTAAAATCAAAGTGGATGCGGAGAGACCCAGTTTTGAAATAAAAATTGGAACCGTTACTCAAACTGAAAAAGGAACTGAGTGGGCGAGAATAAAACCGCCGTTCTTGGGCAGCAGCGGCAGCAACAATGTCTGAAAGCGATTGACCAATAGTGTTCAGGATAAAAGTCAGCGCAACGGTGGCAATAGATAGCTTGCGAAGCTTACCAAAATTGCATCATGAAGTGAGCGCTCCATCTCATCTACGTAAAAGTCATTGGCTCCTCGAAGAATTATGCTCGCCGCCGGATGTACTTTCGGACCCCGAAGAATGATCAGTTCGTCATCACAAATCCGTTCTTGCGCAACTTCCGACGCCTTGAAAATAAAAAAGCGATGGTTATGAACGTGTCTTCAGAAAGGCAGTACGAAAGCTGGTAATTCTAGGTTTTGGCCAACCGACACCATTCGGTGATATAAGTTTTAAACTGGAGAACAAAGTACGCTAAGTGAAAGCGTTCAGCTGTAGCACCCTTCCGGTGCCTAGCCGCCATGCCACCCAAAGGAAGCACGAGGGCTGGGATACTGCCAGGTTGCCCAAGCCTAGACAGGGGAAGTCGAGTGGCGGAGGTCGGATTCGAACCACGGACCTTTCGGCCAGTAAATTCGCGCTCTAACCACTTGGGCCATTTCGCCCCCGCTAAGTGAAAACCTTAAAACCGTAGCTCATTGTGTTTTTCCGGTAAACATAAATGGAAGAATGGGAGATTAAGGTTCGAAAAAGCTTACATTGACAAATGTTTAATGGCCGTAGTTCGGGAGAAATATGACCATGCGAAATAATACGGATTTAGCAACCTCAAGGAGAGTCCACGCGTAGTAAATATAACTGGAGCGGCACTACAACATACAGAAAAAACGGATTTCGGATACCAATGAAAAACCGCGAATAGCGAAAGTTCTGTCACTATATATGGGTCAAGCATGATCGATCGAATTAACAGAGACTAGAGACACAATTGCTCAGTGGAGAAATCTCAGCATTTTCCGTTCGTTCGGAACAAAAAAAGCCCGGCTTAGGATCCCGTCATGCTACAAGCCAGCTATACAGCGAACTCGTGTTCTTTAGGAATGGGTAGACATCCGAACTCTGCCTTAATTCACAACGCCTGGTTTGATCAAGGTTGTGGAGGCGAAAATTACTGATCAGTAAATGATGGCAGGTTTTCGAGAACGACGAAAGTGACCAGAATGACGTCTGGACCAATTAACGGTGGCATATTACAGACATTCAACCACTATATAGAAGCAATGCACTACTCATTAGGTTGCTAAGAACTCACCGACAGCCCACGACCGATTTCGTCCTACTTGAGGTTCATCAGGTAGGTGCAGTTCCCGAGTTTCCGTCAAACTTAGGTTTTACTTGAACCCGAATTGCATGAAATTAACGAAGTACACTCATTTGCATAACAATTTGGTTTTGACGGGAGACTCACTTGGGACTCGGCTGAATCTCTCGCTTTAGAGTATCATAAAAACGAGAGATTAAGCCAGGTTCCAGTGAGTCTCCCGTCAAAACCAATTGGTATGCAAATCAGTGTATTTCTCTACATTATCTGAAGACACTTGATCAGACGTAGTGGAGAGGCGAAACCCATAGGTAGTAAGCCGAAAAACCATTTGCTGTTGCTAACATCACCCAACGAACCTCAAAGAAACTAAGTCCGACCATCCACTGCACCTTCTAGACTCTAAACCAGAAAATTGTGGAAAAACTTCGCGTGCTCACCTTTCCAAGTTTCTGCGCATCAAATACCTCCTCACCCTCCATGTCAGACATGCTTACAATCAGTTGTCCGCCTGTGGCCTTGGCCATATTCTTCAGATCACTTTTTTTACACCGTCGCACAGCCATCGCATTGGCTTCCACGAAGTATTTCATGCACAAATCGTCGATTCCTCCCGTTGTTAGAATGACATTAGCGCCAGCAGCAAGGATTTTTTGGATGCGCTCTTTCGTAATGTCCAGTTCACGCTTTCTTATAGCTTCCAATTGATCCGGGTCATTAACGACAACCTAAAAGTAAGAGAACATAGTCGGTAAGACCAGTAACTTGTAATGTAAAATAAAGTCTGAATTTGGCGATAACGTACATATTTTATTAATACCTTGAATAAAGAGTAAAAACTAAAGCACTCAATAACGGGGTACACCGCTCAACGTCATGCGAATAGCACATCACGAACTTGTTGCCCAAACAACCCCCATTGGCTGTATGGGAGCGCTTCTTACTAAGGTAAGGACCGATTGATTGAAAGGCACAGATATATGGAAGGGGTATTCAGAACTTAGTAAAAGGACCCACGGACAGTAGTGATCGTCGATCAGGCTCTATCAATCTACAGTCGTAACCACTAGACGGGGGCTTTCTGCTGAGTATCCACTTCAGATAAGGGATTACGAGCTTCGTACTTGGTGATTTGGGTTTTACTTAGCTAAGAGCGCCGGGAGGACCAGGGGGTTAGTGGAAGCTTAGTGTACCTGAAAATGTATTGCACAAAGTACTCTGTTCTTGAGAATCACATGCTTTATTTTTTAATGGTGAATACCAAGAAGCAATAACAGTGGCACGCATACTAAAAATTTGTGTATTACTAAACAACGAATGGCTACGTAGTGAACGCAATAGCTTTGCTCCTAGACCGCCATCGGCTGCGTGACAGTCATTTCTGTCAGTCACTATCCACTGGTTTGTCCTGTCCCCCGTTAGGGGAGATGGCAACTACCAACGTGACTAAAATGACTGGTAAGGGCTTTCATGCTAGCCATGGACTGACCGCCTCTCGGTCTCTCCATCCGACAATGCTGGGTGGAGAAGGCTATATGGGGTTAACGGTCCTCTGGTATACGAAGTGCATGGCCTAGCAGGAGTAACTTGTAGTGTTCGACCAGCTGATCTACTGAGGGAAAGTGAACTTTTCTGAAGATCATCTGGTGTATCCACCAGACCAGCGTAATGCTTCGGAGGCACCAATGGTCAGACAAAGCTTCGGGAGATCTTACGCATGACGTCTCGAACACCCAAGGTATCCTCAGTCTACTTTTCGATGACAATGCTATATGGTCGTCGGTAAAAAAAACAAGCAAACTAAGAAATAATCAGGAAACCAGCCGCTTAGACGGAACAAATAATACGCGTTCACCTCAACATAGAGGAATCGCGATTAGACTTGCTTAGCGTAGGATTCAAACTCCAACTAGGATGAACCAACAACAGCAATCAAATCAGGTACATGGATGAGTTGGAAAACGACCGTGATGTGACAAGACATCAAA